GTTTTTTTTCCAGTTCTGTGAAGAAGGTCATTGGTAGCTTGATGGGGATAGCATTGAATCTATAAATTACTTTGGGCAGTATGGCCATTTTCACAATGTTGATTCTTCCCAACCATGAGCATGGAATGTTTTTCCATCTGTTCACGTCCTCTCTTATTTCAATGAGCAGTGGTTTGTAGTTCTCCTTGAAGAGGTCCTTTACATCCTTTGTTAATTGTATTCCAAGGTATTTTATTCTCTTTGTAGCAATTGTGAATGGGAGTCCACTTTTGATTTGGCTCCCTCTTCATCTGTTATTGGTGTATAGAAATGCTTGTGATTTCTGCACATTGATTTTGTATCCTGAAACTTTGTTGAAGTTGCTTATCAGTTTCAGGAGATTTTGGGCTGAGACAATCGGGTCTTCTAAATATACAATAATGTCATCTGCAAATAGAGACAATTTGGCTTCCTCTTTTCCTAATTTAATACCCTTTATTTCCTTTTCTTGCCTGATTGCTCTGGCTAGAACTCCCAATACTATATTGAATAGGAGGGTGAGAGAGGGCATCCTTGTCTTGTGTCAGATTTCAAGGGGAATGCTTCCAGTTTTTGCCCATTCAGTATGATATTGACTGAAGGTTTGTCATAAATAGCTTTTATTATTTTGTGATACATTCCATCGATACCTAGTTTATTGAGGGCTTTTAGCATAAAGGGCTACTGAATTTTGTCAAAGGTCACAGTAGCAACACCACACAGCTACAATCACCTGATCTTTGAAAAACCTAGGAAAAACAAGCAATGAGGAAAGGATTCCCTGTTTAATAAATGGTGTTGGGAAAACTGGCTAGCAATGTGCAGAAAGCTGAAACTGGGCCCCTTCCTGACACCTTACACTAAAATTAACTCCAGGTGGATTAAAGATCTAAACATAAGACCTAACACCATAAAAACCCAAGAAGAAAACCTAGGCAAAACCATTCAGGACACAGGCATAAGCAAGGACTTTATGGTTAAAACACCAAAAGCAATGGCAACAAAAGCCAAAATAGACAAATGGGATCTAATTAAACTCCAGAGCTTCTGTACAGCAGAGGAAACAACCATTAGAGAGAACCGGCAACCAACAGAATGGGAAAAAATTTTTGCAATCTACCCGTCTGACAAAGGGCTAATATCCAGAATCTACAAAGAACTAAAACAGATTTACAAGAAAAAAATAAACAAACCCATTCAAAAGTACGTGAAGGATATGAACAGACACTTTACAAAAGAAGAAATCTATGAGGCCAACATAGATGTTGTGGCACATATACCTCATGGAATACTATGCAGCCATAAAAAAATGAGTTCATGTCCTTCATAGGGACATGGATAAATCTGGAAACCATCATTCTCAGCAAACTGACACAAGAATAGAAAACCAAACACCACTTGTTATCACTCATAGGCGGGTGTTGAACAATTAGAACACATGGGTACAGAGAGGGGAGCATCACATACTGTGGTCAGTTCAGGGGGGTAGGGGAGGGACAGTGGGGGGTAGGGAGGGTGGGGAGGGATGACGAGTGGAGAAATATCAGATATAGGTGATGGGGGATAAAGTCAGTAAACCACCTCACCATGTATGTACCTATGCGGCAATCCTGTATGATCTGCACATGTACCCCAGAACCTAAAGTAAAATTTAAAAAATCAACTCAAAACACATTACAGACTTAAATTAAGACCCAAAACTATAAAAATACTAAAAAAACAAACAAACAAACAAACAAAAAACGAAAAACAAAACAAAACCTACGGAAAATCCCCCTGGACCTTGGTCTAGGCAAAGATTTTCTGACTAAGACCTCAAAAGCACAGGCAATAAAAACAAAAACCGCCAATGCAACTTAATTAAACTGAAAAGATTCTGCACAGCAAAAGAAGTAATCAAGAGTGAAGAGATAACCTGTTGAATAGTAGAAACTATTTGGAGATGATTCATCCAACAGGAACTGATATCCAGAATATACAAGGAACTCAACCAACTCAATAACAACAACTAAGCAATCCCATTAAAAAGTAAACAAGACATGAATAGACATTGCTCAAAAGAAGCCAAACAAATGGTCCACAGGTATGTGAAAAAATACTCAACATTACTAATCATAAGAGAAATGCAAATCAAAACCACAATGCGATAATCCTTTTATTTAGTCAAAATGGCTATTATAAAAAAGACAATATAATAGATGCTGGTGAGGATGTGGAGTAAAGGAAACTCTTACACACTGTTGGTGGGAATGTAAACCAGTACATCCTCTATGGAAAACAAGATGGAGATTTCTCAAAATCTAAAACTAGAATTACCATTTGATCCAGCAACCCCGCTATTTGGTATCTACCCAAGCAAAAAGAAAAAAATACATGAAAGGGTTACCTGCATTTGCATGTTTATTGCAGCATTATTCACAATAGCAGAGATATGAAATCAACCTCAGCATCCATCAATGGATGAATGGATAAAGAAAATGTGGTATATATACACAATGGATACTATATGGCCATAAAAAAAAGAGTGAAACCATGTCATTTGCAGCAACATGGATGGAACTAGAGGTCATTATCTTAAGTGAAATAATCCATGCACAGAAAGACAAATGTCACATGTTCTCACCTATAGGTGGGAGCTAATAAATTTGATTACATGGAGGTAGAGAGTGGGAAGATAACAGAGACTGGGAAAAGTGAGGAGGAGGAAGAAAAGAAGTGGCTTAAAGGTGCAAACATAGAGTTAAATAGAAGGATTAAATGCAGTGTTTGATTGCAGAGTACAGAGACTATAGTTAACAAGAACTCATTGTACTTTGACTTGATCACTACGTCTTATATACATGTAACAACATTTCACGAGTACCCCATAAATTTGTACAAATTAAAAAAAAAAAAAAATTTGCCCTAGAGAGGATAAAATTCGCTAAGACAAAAGGCCTTTCCTTAAATAACAGTGTGAGCTAATCAGAGATTATCAACTTGATCATCTTTTTTCCCTCTGCTATAGACCAATAAATGATTAGTTGTTAATTGTTCCAAGGAAAAATATTAGAATCAAACAGAGACCATCGTCTGAATTTGCTGGTTTGGCTGGTTTAGTAATATACAATTGAATTACAACTAGAAGCTAGAATTCTAGAATTTCAGAAATGCCTTTTACATGCATTATTTTATTTTTGCATCACAAACTCTAAACATTAAAGAAAACAGATCTTTCCTGCCTACTTTACTAGTAAGACACAAGGGGCTCACAGAGGACAAGATTATTGTTTGAAGATGTGTGTATTTATAAGCCTCCAGGACATCTCATTCCTAGTTGGTTTTTATTCCAAGAGATTATATGGGATTGGTAGTGATACATTATAGACATTTGATAAATGTAAATTCAATACATATTATTATTAAGAATTGTATTAGTAACAATTATAAAATTATTAATATTCTTAATAATAAACTTCTGATACTTGATGCTACAATTTCATTCTAATCCAATATGTTTACATGAGGTCTGCTTATTTGAAAGGTCTTTCAACCACAATAATAATTTTAAAAAACCTCAAATCAAGTGCAATGAAGAGTTTCTTTCCATGGGGAAAAATCTTTAAGCTGCACTCTAAATTCCACAATAAAGAAATGTCTCACTTCAAAAATCAATATTAGATTCATCTCAGAATAACAAAAGTACATTAATATTATGGAAAGTGCTTATCAGAACTATCAGATAGCAGAATCCCAGCATGTCATTGTTCCTTCTTTCTCCTTTGTCGTCTTCAATGAGAAGACCTTTTTATAGCTTAATGTTACGATTTAGAACACTGAAAACATATAAGATGATAGATAAAATATCACCTGTCTCCATAGACAGTCTTCCAGAATTTTTATTTTTAATGTGCTAAGATTCTGCATCTGTTAGTTCCCAGTTGATTACTCAGAATTGTTTGTCCTGCCAAATATCAACTACCAACTCTTTATTTTTATTTCTAAGTCCTGACCGCTCCTCTCCTATTAAATTGAAGAATCAGGGAATCTGCAGAAGGAATTACAATTGCCCTACCTTACAGGAATTGTGTCAAAGTTAATGAAATAAACTATTAAGTGCTCTGACTTTCATAAGATAGGTATGACAATAAATGCAAAGTTTTATCCATCACATGAAAGTGTCATCATTTATGCTTTGTCAAAAATTAAAAATATGGCATAAAAACTTTCCTTGAAATCAGCTAGAAATCTTTATAGGAGCTTGATTGCTCCTAAAAGAATGACTGTTGAATTCATTTCTTGTATTGGGATATATCCATTTACTATGAGCTTTAATAATGGAGACTTTTTATTGGGTCACATAATATACTGGTATGTGTCATAATAGGCCCATTCTTGGTGCAGTGACTAGATGGAGCATGTTTTAGCTTGGCTTTTGGACAGCCTCCATCAGTGACTCATGATGCTCATCTCTATAGCCAAGAGGGCATTTAAAGGACTAACTAAAGATCTCGAAGGTGGCCTCTTGTCTCATCAGTAAACCTTACCATCTAAGGGACACTCTGGACACTGGAAGGTTCCAAATCCTCTCTTACAGTATCGAAATATTTGTAGTGGATTTTCAAAAGACTGATGGTTTGTTTCTGTCTTTCTCTCAACACCCAGGGGCCAGTACTTTACATTGTGTCTAGGCCTTGTATTGCCTAAAATAAACATCCACTTACAAAACGGTGATTTCTTCCCCTTACTTGGAAAGGAAAAATCTCTGAAATAACTCACCAAAGGTTTCATTTTTGATGGGGACGTCTATTAGTAACATGGTTGGGAAAAGCCAATTAATGCAAGGATGGTGCATAACAGCAGATAAGTGCAACACGTTGTCTTTATGCAATACCTTGAATTACTCATTTCAAATGACCACTTGAGGGCGCCAAAGCAGAAGCAATAAGAGTCCTTAGTCCTGTTAGCTCTTCAGAAAACTGCTTGCATTTCTGTTTACGGAGATGGTCTTGCTTCAAACACCACTCAAGGTAAAGAGTACCTTTAAAACTGGCAGATATGATAAGATAAATATTTTCACTTTACTATCTTTGGTTACTTCCAAACTGTGCGACAAAGCTGAGTTGTGCTGTCACATGGAAATACATTCCTTTATTCTCAGCATGAACATCACATGAAATCAAGACTTCCATCCAAACACATTGGACATAATTTAATTCATTTTCATTCAAAGTTCTTACTTCACCTTCAATTGTTTCCTGACTATTTCTTTCCCACTAGCATTCTTCTACTTCTCTGACTCCATTGTACAATCAAGGGTTTAAATTCCGTTTGTTACGCTAATCTCAAAGCCATTTAAGTAATGACATGGCAGTCTGCTTGCTAGAATGTTACAGTGGATACTTTAGTCTTTCTTTTCTAGTCCATGGTGCTTTGAACCTACATCTTTAAGCTCTTATGTCTCTATATCTTGATTACTTATTTACACGTCTTTTCCCAATAGACCATGAGATCTTTGAGTGCAAGAAATGGGTCTTAAATGTACCTTTCTGTCTTCTGTTTAAGCTCTCAACAATAGTTGCCTAAGTGAGAAAAGAAGAACATAATTCTTGATCTCAAGTAGAATTTATTCTGATAGGGAACGTGAGTCAGGCACCTTGAAAAGTTAAACAATATTAAAGAAGTTAATACAATGTCAAAATATGAGTTTTCTATAGTGGTGTTGTCCAACAGAAACATGAGAGGCACAAAGTAACTGAAAATTTTCTAGTAGCTACATTAAGAAGGTAAAAGGTAACAAGTAAAATTAATTTTAATCATATATTTAATCAAATACATCCAAAATCTTACCATTGCAACATTTGAAAAATAGAAAACATTTATTATGATATACTTTACCTTTTTTATCTTTGAAATGCGCTATGTATATTGAGATAGATAGGCAGGTAGATAGATTTTTTTTTTCTTTTTTACATGGAGTCATCCTCTGTCACCCAGGCTGGAGTGCAGAGGCCTGATCTTGACTCATTGCTACCTCCACCCTTCCAGGTTCAGCCTCCCAAGTAACCGGGATTACAGATGCCCACCACCACACCTGGCTAATCAACTCTTAATCAATCAATATCAACAAAGCATACTTCACATTTTTCGTGGAGTTTGTGCTGCCAATTTATATAACACTGTTAATTACAATAGAAATCTTCTGAATACTGATTTCTAAATATTTCTAATAATATTTATTATTGTTTAGAAGTATAAAAAGATTTTATTTCAACATAAGTTCTCATGCATGTCTACCTAATCACAAATATGCTTTTTCTTTCTATTGGAGCTTCAAATTTATATTATTTACATGTAGTGTGATATCAGTGACAGAATATAAACCACATTGTCATTTCTTTTGTCTTTAATTATTAAATATATAGTAAACATTTATTAGTTTCAAGAAAATCTTGAATTGGAATTAGCAGCATAGGACATTTTTGAAAAGTCTTCCATGACTTAACGCATGAGTTTTGGTAAAAGAACTTAAAATCATTAGAGTCCTAGTCTCTAATGATTCTTTAAACATTAGAATCTTTCAACAGTCCTTCAAACTTGCAGTGATTCCTAGAATACACCGTAAACACTGAACAAGCATATTCATTAAATATTTTGAAAAGTCTGTCTGAAAAAAACTGCATACATACTGTATGTATCATAGCACAGAATGAAAGAATAAAGAAATAAACAGGCGTTTAGAAAGTTTCTCCCACTCTTTGACCGAGTATTGGTTGAAAGGAGTGCTGCTGAAACTGTAACCAAAGGAGGCATTATGCTTCCAGAAAAATCTCAAGGAAAAGTATTGCAAGCAACAGTAGTCGCTGTTGGATCGGGTTCTAAAGGAAAGGGTGGAGAGATTCAACCAGTTAGCGTGAAAGTTGGAGATAAAGTTCTTCTCCCAGAATATGGAGGCACCAAAGTAGTTCTAGATGACAAGGATTATTTCCTATTTAGAGATGGTGACATTCTTGGAAAGTACGTAGACTGAAATAAGTCACTATTGAAATGGCATCAATGTGAAGCTGCCCATTCCACTGAAGTTCTGAAATCTTTCATCATGTAAATAATTTCCATATCTCTCTTTTATAATAAACTAATGATAACTGATGACAAAAAAAAAAATTCCAGTATACTAGACACTGTCATCACAGTAGACATTAATTTCATAATTACCTTAAATTCTTCTTTGGAGATATGAAAGATTCAAAAATATCTGTGCCATGCAGTTGTGAAGCAACACTTCTTCATATCTTTGGAAGTAAATCCTTTAAGACAAAAGGCACCCACATTGCTAATTGAACAGCATCTCTTCTATTGCAAGACTCAACTAAAGCGAAAAAAAAAGTGCTTTCGATTTTTCCAATTTGGATTCAGTAGATCATTGATATTGTTGGAAAGGTCTTGTATTATGAAGCAACTGTCTGGTGAATTAACTGTAGATGTTTCACTTTTTATAAAATATTTTTAAGGCTTTTCTTCAAGATTTAAAAACAGAATTTCCACGTTTGATGTAGTGACTCTTTTTTACACTTCTTCATCTAAAAATGGCTTTCTTTTTAATACAAATATGTAAGCTCAATTGGCCCTAGCTACAAGCTCAGATGCACTTAAACACTATTTACTTTAACATTTTGTTGTTGTGATGGGACTGTTCATCCTTATTTTTGGCAACTAATTGTGTTGATTCTTTTTTGACTTGTAACTATTAAGAGGAAAATCATTATGAAATTCACTGTGTATTTCCTGAAAATACATTTAAATATTATCCACTTTATTATCATAAAAACTTTTTTCACAACATCTTTGAAAGCTTTTTAGGTGTTGCTCTGCCACAATAATTCACAGTTGCCAGTCATCGTTGGGAAGTATCTTCTTCCAATTTCTCTCATTCTTTCTCTTTCTTTCAGTCCTCCGGGCATAGTGCTAGCTTCTGCAACTCTAGATTTGAAATCAGCAGCATGCCTTCATTGTAAACCTAAAAATTTATGTCCATACTTATTTTTTAACTAGAAAGATACTTTAATTATAATTAAAGTATAATTGATATCCTCAACATAGTACCTTACAATTAGTCATTGTGACTTTGGCTGTCTGTCTTAACAACCTGAACACATTACACTGTTTTATCAGGGCTTAGAAAACATATTTGGAATTGAGTCAGTTCAGTGATATTGACTGGATGGATGATGCGTTTATCTAGAAATGAAGTCCATGCCGCCATCCACCCTCACCTCACTTTTATGTGACACAATTAAATAAAATATTGTCCTACCCAAAACAAAGTTGTGTTTAATATAAAAATGTTATTTACATTGCTTCAGATTCTAAATTTAAATATAAGTTAATTAAAACTAAGTAACAAACTCGGCGTCTGAGTCTCAGGAACCACATTCCAAGTGCTCAATAGGTGCAGGTGGTGAGCAGCCTCCCAGCTGAGCAGCGCAGGTGGAGACTGTGCGTTCCTCAAGATCATGGGTTAAACGTAACTTTTTTGCTGTCCACCATACCCAGCACATCAACAATTATGGATTGAATTTGGTATCCTATTGCCACACATGCTTAAAGTTGAAACAAATACGTGCTTGCAAATGTTCATAAAGTTGATAAAGAAGTCTTCAAGTTCAGAAAGAAGACTTTGCGAAAGAATTGAGACTTTAACTGGTATTAAACATTTAAAGGCAGAAAGGAACAGAGAAAGGGCACAAACCAAAACAGAGCTCAAATCGGAGAAGAAGAAAGAAAGAAAAATCTGGAAAGTTAGATTGAGGTCAGGTGCAGAAAGCCAGAAGTGGACATCACCCAATGGGTACCGTTTTACAGTTTGCTGTCTTTTAGCAATATTTGCTGATATTTTTCTGTACTGGCTAATTTTTTTTCAAATGTAGTTCCAAGTACTTATCAATTTGTAAATATACATTGCTCTCTTTCTTAATGAATAAAAGGCAAACTCTCCATCTCTAATCTTAAACTTTTAAGTTATATCAAAAATTTATACATGTTATATGATTCATGAAAAAAATTATAAATTTTTATCATTGACCAGGATTAAAATACTTTAGAAGTAGAAATTACTTATTTTATTCTCCACACATCTTTAAGTACACCATGCAATTAGAAAGTAATTAGTAAGTATATGAACTAAATAAAAATAGGTCACATATGAGTACCAATATATAAATATACACATCATGAAACACATTACCATTGATTTCTGAAGAAGAATGTGTAATTCTGCCAATGTTCAGTTCAATATCATTTTGTTGTTCTTAGCAGTACCACATGAGACTAAACCAGTAAATACAGCAATTTTTAAAATCAATTTACCTGGTATTCAAGGTTTTAACTATACTTCTCTTCTGTAGCTATTTCTACAAATGTTTAAAGAGTCAGATGAAAAGATTACATTCAATTAAACAGAAACTCATTTTAAAATACAGAAAAAATACAATATTATTAAAATGTTATGTAAATTATTTTACATCTGGTGAAATAAAATATTATATAGTATTATAAATGGTGATACACAAAGCTGGATACATATGTTTAAACAATTATGTATAGACTAATAGATAGGAAACGATGCTAAAATAACCACACCCTGTATATTTAACTACGTTGGAACTGGGCAGGTTTTTAAAAACCTTTCCTGTTTTACCAAAATGTCTATACCCCGGGAGTAATTTTCTGTAAACAAATATAAATGTATACATTTAAAAACAAAGTTTTAAATAACCTTTATAAGTTCACCTTGCTCCTGAATATTTTGCAATCTGTTTAAATCAACTGGCCTGTACATGCTTATGCTCTCACAAATTTAAGAGTTTAAGAATAAATCCACAAATTCCAGCTTGTACATCTAGTAAGTTAATTGAGTTTTTAATAGTATTTATTTGTATTTTGATAAATAGTTGGCAAATGAAAAGAGCATTGAAAAGAATGCATTAAAGTACTTAGATGAAGTAATGACATACATAAAAATTGTCAAAGGGATGACAGAGGAAAATAAATCAGGTTCATTAAACCAACACCTAAAACATGGGGTGAAAAACCCCTTGTTCTGATGGCAATGAATGATGTATTTTTATCTTAATACTTTGCAGTACAATTGTCAATGCATTGTATAGTTTTAAAGGACTCAATCATATTCTTAAGGTACTTCTTTAATAAGAGGTAAATTACATAATAGTAGGATACAGCTGTGTTTGCTACAAAAATTCAATAAAACAATTTAATAATCTTCATAAAGTATCTACTTGAGTGAATTAACTAAGCACACGATGAAAATTGCTTTAGTTCTCTACAGCCATTTACCCATGTGATGCATCCTCTGAGCAAATTTCTCAAATGCTCCTCTAAGGTGTGGACATCATTCCAGACACATTGGACAAAAACTGCTGAACCAGCTGAAATCTACAGATGAAGACTCCATAAAAGTAACAAGGAAGGAAAAATAAGCTACATGACATGCCTTGATTCCATGTCTCTTTTAGTCATGTTACATATTTTTCTCATGAAACAAGACTTGGAAGAATTTGAGAGCCAAAACTGAAACTAAAAAGTACATGGCAAAAATACATATATAAATAACTCAAAATATGAGGGAAAATATGAAAACCAGATGAAGAAAATAGGCAAAGGGCACGAATAGTTCCTCTGCCTCCTTGCTTCCCAACTCTCTCTCTCTCTCCTTTCTCTCTCCCTCTCCTCCCCTCTCCCTCAAGCACACACAGAGACATATAAATAAATGATACTTAAATTTATGAAAAAATGTTCAACCTCACTTAAACACATGAAAAGATGTTCAACACAAGAGAAACAAAAATACACAGACATCATGTATGTCATCTATCATATTCTCAAATATTCATTACACACTGTCAACAAGACTATGGGAAACAGGTTCTATGGTACATTACTGGTTCTATCACATATTATTGCATACACACATCCAAAATGATAAAATCTACATGGAATAGAATTTAGTGATAACTCACAAAACAACATATCCATTTACCTTTATCTGTAGCAATCTCATTTTTCGGGAAATTAGTGCTAAACATATATCTCCAACAATACAAAAACATACAAACTAAGGGTTTCACTGTGGCACTATGTCTAACTGCAAATACTAGAAACAATGTCATTGCTCATAAATAGAAGAGTTGAATAAACTACATTACATTTACACAATGAGATACTCTACAACTGAAAGAGTAGTTAGGTCTGTAATTTTTGATATGGTATGATATTCAACATGCTTGTTAAATGATAAAAGCAAAAAAAAAGTATGCAACTTTGTACAGAAAAAAACTAGGAAGGTAGGATGGAAGGACATATCCAAAATTAATGTTATTGATTACCACAAAAGGTAGGAGAAATGAGAAGAGAACTCAAAAAGAGAGTAAAATTTCTCTGAGCACATCTTTTTATATAAACTTTACTTTTGAACATATTACTGTTTTCACAGTCCAAAAATAAAACAAAATTCACAAGAATTGGAGAAAAAAAGTAAAGTAGGACAGCAGTCAGAAAAAGAAATGAACCTATATAGCTATATCAAATTGATAAAATAATCATATGGAAAAATATTAAGTCAAGTAACTTGATTATGCCCTAAGTGGGATATATCCTGATTATTTCCTAAGTGGGATATAGCCTAAAGACTAAAAGGACTACCAAGAAATTGTGAACTTTACTTGGTTAGTTTGCTGTTGATGTGGCATCAGTGGAGCAATTCTGAAAATATTTTTTGTATTGTAGAAAAGAGCCAATGAGTATGTACACTGATATTGTTGAACAAGATATTAAAATGGAGAGGAAGAATTCTGTATATTGAATGAAAATTCTGGATATCAGTCTGAACTCATTCTCAATAGATGGATGACAGATAGATAGGTATATATTACAGATTTATAAATAGATTCAGATATAATCTAGAAGCAGTGACACTCGCAGTAGCAATAAGCACATCGGTCAGAAGAAGAAAAGTACGATGGGAGAATAGAGCACTTTGTTTTGCCACAAAGTAAGAAAGTGCTCCAAAACTGATGGATACAAGATCCAAGACTTACCATTAGCAAAATGCACATGAATTTGAGTAAAAAATAATGA